GCCGCCGGTGTGCCTACACTCATAGAAAATAATGTATTTGAATTTTAAAGATGTGGCGCGACGCGACGCTGCGCTTCTCGTCCAGTGTGCGACTGCCTGAAATGCTGTTTTTTTCATCTCCGTGCCCAAACGTCTTTGTTTGGGCTTCCGAAAGCAGATGATGTAGGTACTTTAATAATGTAAATTATGTGAAAAATAATGCGTTTTCCGAACCACCAAGCATGAGAGCATGTTCTAGTACACCCCCAAAACAAAATCAAGACTTTGTAAAAGAGCATAATAGGACCCCTTTAAATAACTGAAATACTGCAAGCTTTTTGGATCATTACCTGATGCCGAAAATATGACCTACCTTTACGCTTGCTCTCTTCGAACTCTCTGCGTGCGGCTTCGATGTAGCGGTGCACTAGAGCCTTGGTCACCTGCAGGCGGTATGGCACTCTGCCCTCACCTTGACCTCCGCTGTTATTCAGGGTATTGCTAGACTGAACAAAAAAAATATGAAAAACACCTCATCAACAAAATGTAACCAAGAATTATGGCGGTTGTAGAGATCGAATCCCCTCAGACGCTCACCAAAGATGCAATGGGAGGATATTCTGGGGCTTTCTTGTTACTGCAACAGCAAATCTTTCGGCAGATGCTTCTACACAAGACCGGGAGGAACAGAAAGGTTACATCTGGTTCTAAATGATCTAAAGTCTGTGGTAAAAAAAAAGTGTGAGTTCACATAGTCTGCATAAGAGATTATGGAGGTTTGATAGTACCTCTCATTTAGCAGGTTTTCTTACCTCAAGATATAGAAGAGAGCCTTTGGAGATGGGATGATATTAAAGGGAGCTGGCATAGTGAGACCCTCCCTGAAGTAACTGAGGTAGAGTTTAGAGCGAGCAAACTTCCACTCGACATCTGCATCATCCTGAGAGGAAGAGACATTATGAGCATACTGTACATAAACATTGTCGTTCAAAAGTTTGGGGTTGGTAAAGTTTTGGTAAGGTAAATCTCTTCTGCTCACCAAGGCTGCATTTATTTGATCATAAATACAGTAAAAACAGTACTATTGTGAAATATTATTACAATTTAAAATAACAGTTTTCTATTTGAATATATTTAAAACTGTAATTTATTCCTGTGATGCAAAGCTGAATTTTCAGCATCATTACTCCAGTCTTCAGTGTCACGTTCCTTCAGAAATCATTCTAATATGCTGATTTGCTGCTCAAAAACATTTATTATTATCAATGTTGAAAACAGCTGTGCTACTTAACAACTGCAAATGATTTCAGTATTTTTTTGATGAATAGTAAGTTCAAAAGAATAGCATTTATTTGAAATATTTACTCATGAGGGAGAGTAAATAAAAACCGCTTTCATTTTTGGGTACCGGAAGTTTGTTCCATCGCACTGGTCTACAAATGTTCTCTAATATTATCTTAACTCTTTTTTTTATATATAATGATATTTTAAGCTTCAAACCTCGATCCTCTGGAATGAATTGGAGATCATGGCAATAAGCATGTTGAGTAGCACTATGACGATGAGCAGTGTGAATATCCCGTAGAAGATCCTTCCCACAAACTCAGCCAGAGCGTAATCAGGCATGTCTACGTATTCCTGGTTTGCCATTCCAAACATGGTCCAGAAGAGGAAGTTAAATGTTTCATTAAATCTAAAACGAATACAACAGACAAACAGATTTAAGATGCATCTCCCAGGTGATTTCAAACCAACCAAACACATGTAATTACATGTAAACAAGCTATTAATCACCTGCCAAGATATGGAGAAACAACATATGGGACGTATATGTTGTTTATTCCACACAAAAATGCGGTTCCGATGATCATAAGGATGAACATGAACCTGTAGAGCAAGAAAAATATTTGATGAAAGCGATTTTAATGGTGTTCTCCTCTCATAGCTATACTGGATGTCCAATCGCAGAGATCAAACAGCAAGATCTGACCTCATCATGTCATCGATCATTCTTCCCATGGATATCTGCAGGGTTCCCAGGGATTCATGGGCCGGCAGAATGTAGGCGAGACGTGTGAAACTCAGCATGCTGGTCACGGCGAACAGAGTCTCTGCAATCAGCTGAGGATCCTCCTGTTTCCAGTCCTCTCGTACTATTCAGAAACATATGATACAATTATATAATAATAATAATAATAATAATAATAATAATAATAATAATAATAATAATAATAATAATAATAATAATAATAATAATAATAATAATAATAATAATAATAATAATAATAATAATAATAATAATAATAATAATAATAATAATAATAATAATAATAATAATAATAATAATAATAATAATAATAATAATAATAATAATAATTCGAGATGTCATTTTTTTTTTTCATGTATCGGAAGTAGTAAAAATGATCAAAAAATATATAATTACTATTACTACTGCTGCTACATGTGGGGAAAAAAATACATTTCAAACAATTATTATATCATATTTAATAATAATAATAATAATAATTATTATTATTATTATTAAAATGATAATAATTACAATTTTACTATAATAAATCTATTATTATTATTATTATTATTTTAACTCTATTTGTTGATAACACTATTATTATTGTTGTATTTTAATTAATTTCAACTATTTGTTAATAACAATGTTTAATTAAAATACAGATAACTATTATTATTGTATTATGTTGTATCTATCTATATTACTTTCAGTAAGTGTGATGTATGGATGGCTAGTTAAAAGAATTAAAAAAAAAACAATGCTGGTTAAATAAAGCCTGTATGTGAGATGGCACCTGTGTTGGTGAAATAGTCACACAGTTCTTGAGTGCTGGAGTCCTGACAGAGGAAATATCCCTTTAGCGTGATGAGGATGCGCAGTGTGAAGGATGCCAGATACATGCTCAGAACCATCATATCCACAATGTTCCATAAATCCAGAAAGTAACTCTTCAAACCCTCAATCCAAACTTCCTTACACTCAAACCAGAAGAAACCTACCAATGCAGTAAGATAAACACTCTATTTTAGACAATACTCATTACATTTACTCTCTCTAAATAAATCAAAGTCAATTATTGGCTAGACTCAGGGATTTAAATGCCTATTAAGTGGTTTTCCTATGGATTTTTATTTGGCAGCATGACCCACCAGCAACCCATATCATATGGAGAGAGTTATGGAGGATGTTCTGCTTTCGTGAGGCAAAATCGCTGCGGTAGATCTCCATGAAAATCGACTCCGTCAAGAGAGTGATGAGGAACCACATGTATGACGCTGAGTGTAACAGGAACTTAATCACAGGAACCTTCAGCAGTTTACCCAGCTGGCAGAACAAAGTAGGTTAAGTCCATATAAATATTTGAAATGCTTTTAAGCTGTATTGAATAAGGTTGTTTGCATGGGCCCATGGGCCATTATGATGTTATTTAATTGTTATCACCACTGGCTCAAATTTACCTTAGACTTAGGGGCGATCCAGTAAACGAGGCAGAGAAACGGCATGGCAATGAAAATCCCCAAAGACACCAGCAGCCTTCACACTGCGCATCCTCATCACGCTAAAGGGATATTTCCTCTGTCAGGACTCCAGCACTCAAGAACTGTGTGACTATTTCACCAACACAGGTGCCATCTCACATACAGGCTTTATTTAACCAGCATTGTTTTTTTTTTTATTCTTTTAACTAGCCATCCATACATCACACTTACTGAAAGTAATATAGATAGATACAACATAATACAATAATAATAGTTATCTGTATTTTAATTAAACATTGTTATTAACAAATAGTTGAAATTAATTAAAATACAACAATAATAATAGTGTTATCAACAAATAGAGTTAAAATAATAATAATAATAATAATAGATTTATTATAGTAAAATTGTAATTATTATCATTTTAATAATAATAATAATAATTATTATTATTATTATTAAAATGATAATAATTACAATTTTACTATAATAAATCTATTATTATTATTATTATTATTTTAACTCTATTTGTTGATAACACTATTATTATTGTTGTATTTTAATTAATTTCAACTATTTGTTAATAACAATGTTTAATTAAAATACAGATAACTATTATTATTGTATTATGTTGTATCTATCTATATTACTTTCAGTAAGTGTGATGTATGGATGGCTAGTTAAAAGAATAAAAAAAAAAACAATGCTGGTTAAATAAAGCCTGTATGTGAGATGGCACCTGTGTTGGTGAAATAGTCACACAGTTCTTGAGTGCTGGAGTCCTGACAGAGGAAATATCCCTTTAGCGTGATGAGGATGCGCAGTGTGAAGGATGCCAGATACATGCTCAGAACCATCATATCCACAATGTTCCATAAATCCAGAAAGTAACTCTTCAAACCCTCAATCCAAACTTCCTTACACTCAAACCAGAAGAAACCTACCAATGCAGTAAGATAAACACTCTATTTTAGACAATACTCATTACATTTACTCTCTCTAAATAAATCAAAGTCAATTATTGGCTAGACTCAGGGATTTAAATGCCTATTAAGTGGTTTTCCTATGGATTTTTATTTGGCAGCATGACCCACCAGCAACCCATATCATATGGAGAGAGTTATGGAGGATGTTCTGCTTTCGTGAGGCAAAATCGCTGCGGTAGATCTCCATGAAAATCGACTCCGTCAAGAGAGTGATGAGGAACCACATGTATGACGCTGAGTGTAACAGGAACTTAATCACAGGAACCTTCAGCAGTTTACCCAGCTGGCAGAACAAAGTAGGTTAAGTCCATATAAATATTTGAAATGCTTTTAAGCTGTATTGAATAAGGTTGTTTGCATGGGCCCATGGGCCATTATGATGTTATTTAATTGTTATCACCACTGGCTCAAATTTACCTTAGACTTAGGGGCGATCCAGTAAACGAGGCAGAGAAACGGCATGGCAATGAAAATCCCCAAAGACACCAGCAGTTTCCAAGCAGTTCGACTTCCCCTCCAACCGGACAGGCTACCGCACCAAATGGAGGAGAGCACTTGCTGGCAGATGGGATGAGTCACAAACTAGACGAGGAAAACAAACAGTCAGGCCTCCCAGCCAACTGTCAATCAATCAGACATCCCATACTGCATGAACGCAGGGGTCAAACAATGATGTTCACATGCCCTGTGTTTCTCCTCAATCAAAATGAAATAAATAATAAATCAAATGAAACTAAATGAAAAATAGTTAGTATATAGATTGTGACATTTTATCCCATTTGTCAGTTGCTGCAATTAAAGCAAAATGAAGTACCTGTTTTTGATTGTAGTTGACCGCCAGTCGAAGACGAGCGAGGTTGGGGATGCCTTCCTCAAACGTCTGTTCATCCAGTTCTTCATCCTCGCTGTCATCCTCATTGCTGTTGAGGATGGTGGAGACCTCGCTCTGGTTCCGGCACATTCCCAGAAGCTCCACTGCAAACTCCTGACACAGCTGTTCCAACGCCAGGTACTGCGGCTAAACAGCAATAAAGAGTTTTGAGAAAGAAATGTTAAAAATCAATTAATAAGTGTGTTTACCAAATGCTGGTAACTGTGAAAACAGCTTATTTTAAATATACTGACAATGTCAAATGATGGCAAAACTCAGTGGAAAACTTGGCAATTAGAGGAAAAACCTGATTGTCAAATTATGAAGCATAATCTGTGCAAGGACATGCATGTAAAAAAATTAAATGAGTCCGTTATTAGTAGCATATTGTCAGTGCTGGGTAGATTACTTACAAATTGTAGTACATTAATGATTACAAATAAAATGTCAAAAATTGTTAGTAACATAATCTGGATTGCATATTAATTAATGTAGTTTGACTAATTTTTGATTACTTTTAGAGTACTTTTGACCCAATTTATCACATAGACTTGAATGGGATTACTGTGCAGCAACAACAACAACAACAAAAATAACAGAGAGAAAGAAAATATACTCCATTCTTTGTTATCAACACCATAAAATGCATTAAACATTACATTACAGCAGGGTTTCCCAAACTGTATATAAGTGGTAAATTCATTTAGAAAGGGAGATATAAAAAGATAAATAAAAATTGTGGGGTGAATCAATAAAGTTTGAATAATTTACTACCATTGTGTGAATATATAATCATGTAATCCATAAAAAGTAACTGTAATCTGATTATGAGCATTTTAAGCCATAATATAATCTAATTTCAATAAGTACTTTAATTTCTGGAATCTGATTATGCAATCTAGATGACATGTAATCAGTTACTATCCAACACTGACCATTCTTAGTAGTTCACGAAAAACAGACAATTGACTCTTGTTTTTCCAAATAATTTTTTTTTTTTGTAATATTTGCAATGTTTTCTATAAATGAATGAATTCTTCTTCGCTCACCTTAAACTCTGGTTCTTTCTTAGAGAGTTTGCGCAGTTCTCGGCTGAGGTGGAAAGCGCTGAGCATGGCGTCTTCTGAGGTGATCGACAGATACGCGCGGCTGGCAATGCCTCTGTATGTATTTATACGGGACAGCGAGAACTTGAGCAAGTCGTATTGCCGGCTGTTGCGGCACTCCAGGCATGTGCATGAGATGGAATGAGGCAGAGGTATGTCATGACCTCTCTGGGTCAGCATAGTTACGATCTCATACAGGTCCTTCTGGCAGGCCAACGTTAATGGCGTCACTCCTGGCGCGAACTGAGAATCGTCAATGGAGTGGTCGAAGATGGCCATGCTGAAAGAACGAACGTCCATCTTGTTGCCTTTCTCCTGATCCAGCCGGTCCAGGAGGTGTTTGACGAATCTGGGCTGGTTTGTGTCGACGGCCACCAGCAGAGCCTCGTGAATCTGACGGAAGTCAAACTTGACGCCTAGCAGAAGGGAGGTCATGATGTCTTCGCTGCCCAGTCGGATGGAAAGGTTCAACGCTTCCCTCCATAACCGATCCTCAGACTCGTCCAGCTGGCGGATGATCCCGTCACCAAGGGAGAGGAGACTGTCCACCCAGGCCATGTTGCCCTCTTGGATGGCGGGGATCAGCGCCGGTGGAAAGTGAAGCTTCTTGTTCACAATCTCCCGCCAGTTGTCTGGCTGCTCAGAGAGACGGGACACAGAAGATTTTTAAAAACCCTTACGAAACCCTCATTAGAGGGTGAAATAAAAGCAAACTCAAAAAAGCAAAACCAGGAAAATTCTGGTGCAATACTGTATAATACAATAATAATACATAATAAACAATACAATTTTATTGACACTGCACACACTTTTTTACAACTGCACTGCTGTTCAAAAGTTTGGGGTCAGATTTTTTTTTTCTTTTTGAAAGAAATGAATACTTTTATTCAGCAAGAATGAATTGATCAAAAGTGGCAGTAAAGATATTTATGAAAGTGACGTGACGTGGTGACCCATACTCGGAATTAGTGCTCTGCATTTATCCCATCCAAAGTGCACACACACAGCAGTGAACACACACACACTGTGAACACACACACCGTGAACACACACCTGGAGCAGTGGGCAGCCATTTTTTTGCTGCGGCGCCCGGGGAGCAGTTGGGGGTTCGGTGCCTTGCTCAAGGGTACCTCAGTCGTGGTATTGAAGGTGGAAGAGAGCGCTGTACATTCACTCTCCCCACCTACAATCCCTGCCGGTACGAGACTCGAACCCGCAACCTTTGGGTTACGAGTCCGACTCTCTAACCATTAGGCCACGACTCCCTCTATAATGTTATTTAAAAAAATCGATTTTAAATAAATAAACAGTTAAAAAAAACTGTTTACACATATTGTTGCACAACTGTTTTCAACATAGATATTAGCCTAATAAATGCTTATTGAGCACTAAATCAGCATATTAGAATGATTTCTGAAGAAAAATATTAAAATATTTAAAATATATTAAAATATTTTCAATCCTAATAACATTTCATAACATTACTGTGTATAAATTTTATTTTTGGCCAAATAAATGCAACCTTAGTGAGCATAAGACAATTCGTTCAAAAACATCCGACCTCACATTTTTGAACAGTAGTACACTAGTGAACAGTAGTATACTAGTGCTGTCAGACGATTAATTGCATCCAAAGTAAAAGTTTTTGTTTACATAATATATGTGTGTGTACTGTGTATATTTATTATGTATATATAAATACACACATATGCATGTACATATTTAAGAAAAATATGTTACGTTTATATATTAAATATATTTATATGAATATAAATATATACATGCAAATACATGGAAATATTTTCAAAATATATGCTGTATGTGTGTATCTTCATATATACATAATCGATATACACAGTACACACACATATATTATGTGAACACTAACTTTTATTTTGAATCGTTTGACAGCACTTATATATACCTAAATGATGTAAATGATGTACTAGCTTCACCGGTTGGATAATAATGGCTCAGTGGTAGAGCATTGTGTTAGCAGTGCAAAAGGTTGTGGGTTCGATTCCCAGGGAACACAAATATTGAAAATGTAATGCCTGAATGCACTGTAAGTCGCTTTGGATAAAAGCGTCTGCTAAATGCATTTAATTAATTAAATTAAATTTCTGATTGGCTGAGCTATTTTCAAAGTCACATTCTACGTTATATTAATGTGTCAAGCTGCTATGTTGGCTGGCAACCTTAAACTTAAATATATTTACTTAAACATTGTTATCTTTTACCATATTGCTGTGGTTTTATAACGGCAATAACCCATTCAATTCCATCAGTTACCATGATTTTTACCACAGGTAGTGGCCTTTTAGACCCTCCGCTTTGTATTGTGCCTAAAACCACCCATTACTTTTGGCACTTATTGCATTTAATGCCTTGCAATCAAAACCTTTAAATCTGAAACTCACCGTAAGGTTTTCCATGTTCTTAGTGGAGCACTCCAAATCAGTAAACTTCTTTTGAGAAATACGTCAGATCAAAATAGTGAGCAGCTCTATCATGTCAGCTTGAGAGATGAATCCAGAAAGGAACAATATGGTTGTCACCTCCAAGACCTGTTTAGTGATTTTGTGCTTCTGTACAAGCCTTGTTTTTGTCTACTGATGTCTCATCTTGTTCTGGGAATTAGCCTGTACCACCCACTCAGCACCAATAACAGCGATGCTCCCTGAGGAGAACACTCATTAGCACACAGCACTGTTGCATTTCATTTGGGTAATTACAGTTTAAGTTCTGCTTTTACAATATGACTTTTGTAGCTTGATAAGCTGTTGAACTCTAATAACGTTAACGCTAAGGAAACGTTCACCCAAAAATGAAAACGTGCTGAATGTTTACTCACCCTCAGGCCATCCAAGATGTAGATGGGTTTGTTTGTTCACTGGATCAGATGTGGAGAAATGTATTATTACATCACTTGCTCACTAATGGATCCTCTGCAGTGAATAGGTGCCGTCAGAATGTCCAAACAGCTGATACAAACTTCACAATAATCCATAAGTAATCCACACAAATCAGTTAATTCCCTGTGAAGTGAAAAGATACATGTTTGTAAGAAACAAATTCAACATTAAGATGTTTTTAATAACTGTTTTATACCATTGCTTCCCACTAAAATATGAGTCCTCTATTCATAATATTGCTTTCTTGGATTATGGACTGGTATTTTGGCCAGAAGCAATGGTTTAAAGTTAAAGGGATAGTTCACCCAAAAATGAAAATTTGATGTTTATCTGCTTACCCCCAGGGCATTCAAGATGTAGGTGACTTTGCTTCTTCAGTAGAACACAAACGAAGATTTTAAACTCAAACCGTTGCAGTCTATCAGTCTTATAATGGCAGTCAATGGGCTCCACTTTTGAGAATAAAAAAAAAAACATACACAGACAAAACCAAATTAAACCCTGCGATTCGTGATGATACATTGAAGTCTTAAGACACGAAACGATCGGTCTGTGCAAGAAACTGAAAAGTATTTATATAATTTTTTACCTCTGATCCACCGCAATGTCCAACTGTCCTGAGCGCGTTCACAACATCCGGCGCGTGATGTCAAATAAATATGGTTGGGCAAAAAAATCCCACGTTGTCTGATCAAAATTGTCTTCTATTGTGATGACCTGTACTTCTAAATATCTTTAGATCATTGCAGTGCCAGTGAACACGTCCGCAATATCTCTGCACTGTGTAAATAATGAGTGACGTATACGCGCGACAGATCGCTTCTGCACATGTGTCTACTATCATAGATATGTATAGATGCCCTATTCGACCGCTCCAGATACATGTCCACCATTTTGGAACGTATCGCGGCCCATAGAAACAGTCACTAATGAGGCATCTACTTATATCTATGTCTACTATGCCAGAGCACATACACGTGTCACATGCCGGATGTTGTGAACGCGCTCAGACATTGCGGTGGATCAGAGGTAAAAAATAATATAAATACTGTTCAGTTTCTTGCACAGACCGATCGCTTCGTGTCTTAAGACCTCAATGTATCGTCACGAGCTGCAGGGTTTAATTTGGTTTTGTCTGTGTATGTTTTTTTCTACTCTCAAAGCCGTGGAGCCCATTGACTGCCATTATAAGACTGATAGACTGCAACGGTTTGAGTTAAAAATCTTCATTTGTGTTCTACTGAAGAAACAAAGTCACCTACATCTTGGATGCCCTGGGGGTAAGCAGATAAACATCAAATTTTCATTTTTGGGTGAACTATCCCTTTAAAATGCCTTAATGATGGATTCGTTTATCACAAACACACAGCTTTTCGCTTCACAAGATGTTAACTGATGGACTGGATTCATGTGGATTATCGTGACGTTTTTATCAGCTGTTTGGTGTCTCATTCTGACGGCACCCATTCACTGCAGAGCATCCATTGGCGAGCCAGTGATGTAATGCTAAATGTCTCCAAAACTGTTCTTTTGAAGAAACATCTTTGAAGGCCTGAGGGTGAGTAGATATTGAGCAAATGTTCATTTTTGAGTGAACTATTCCTTTAACGATTCTTGTCATGCTTAAAAAGTGATCTGTACCATGAAATCTTCCATTTACTGTAGTACAGGCCAGCTAGATATTAGGTTCTCTGCTTCCACAGTACATTCCAACAGCATTGCTTGTAGCTTGTCAAACTCGATTGAAGCTGAAACTTATCTGGACTTGATTAGCATGGGAAGGGTTTCTCTGAAACCACATAAACAAAAGCATTAATCATTAAACAGCCATGTCGCCTCCATCTCAGTCGTCATGATAATCAATTGATCATGACCTCTTGCCACTTCTTTTACCAACCTAATTTCGAGAAGTACACCCTACGTCCTTTAGAATGTGGCAAATTAATTACCCCGATGGAGTCTGGTGGCCCTGTCAAACCCTGTCTGGAATCACGCTCCGCTGCGGCAGCTGACAGCGCCGGCCCGCTCCGCCTTTGCAATTCTAATGAGTGGTCATTTATCAGCCTCTGACGGCTGGACAATCCACTTGATGTTTAAATCTGCTGATAATATCAAAAACATGCACTTGCCGTAATCCGCAAATTATTACTTAACTGTCGATCATATTAGTTTGAACGTTACGAGTAAATAAGATTTATAGGACTACTCTGCAGTTTTCATGCATTTATAAAAGAGATTTTACAGAGATTCTTCAAGTAGTTAATGGTTAACTTTTAGAGTAATTCCAGTGGTTTTCTTTTTAGCATACGATGGTTTAATGCAATTGCTGCTGTTATTAATTGGTTTACATTTACTTGATTCGCATCAGTCTTGCTTGGAAGGTAATGATGACAAATGCATCAGCTTCTGCATTTATGCTTATACGATAGGAGACGTGTAAACCATGACTTTTAGTTTCTTCATGGTCTGTTTGAGAGATTGATTGAGGAGTTTTGTTGCTGTTGTTAAATGGGGGATAATTGCTTTGTTTTTGATTAACACTGCAATTTGAGGAAGGGGAAAGCACTGAAATAGGCAAAATACTGAAAGAGAACTGAAATAATGTTGCTGGATTGTAGCCTAAAGTTTAATTTGGTAGATTTTAACTCAGTGTTTCATGTTAATTACACCATTTAGAAATATTTTTATATATAAGACATATGGTGTAAAGTTCTAAATGACAAAACTCGTAGCATGGATGACAACAGACATTACTGCAGTGACTGAATGTTACTGTAGTAGTAATTCTGCTAAAGTCTTATATTTCAGGCCAGCTGCTTTTTTCATCTACTTCATATGCATTTTCATTCTAAATACTGCCACTAACAAAGGACCCAAAACTATATTTTAGATATTTGGTATTAGTTGAAATACCTTTGAAAGTTTTGGGTCAGTAAGAATTTTTTTAAATAAGAAATGTATATTTTACTTAATAAGGATGCATTAAATTGATCAAAAGCTACAGTATAAAGACATTTATAATATTTCAAAAGATTTGTATTTTAAATACATTTCTATTCATCAAAGAATCCTGAAAAAACGTACCATGATTTGTCCAAAAATATTATGCAGCTTTTAAACATTGATACTAAAAAAAAAAATGTTTCTTGAGAACCAAATCAGCAAGAATTGTTTGAAAGAGCATGTGACCCTGAACAATGAAGACTGAAAATTCAGTTTTGCATCACAGGAATAGATTTTTAAAATATATTCAAATTGAAAACAGGTATTTTATCCCGCGGGGACTCTTCATTTTTGGGTCACACTTGATGCCTTAGCTGTCAAAAGTGACTGAAGGTACCAAGTGTAACTTTTTTATTTTTAAACCCTTTATCATATCCAAATCATGTCTATGATTTTGTGTTTGTGTGTGTGTTCACATAGCTAATGCGACAAAAGTCACCAAGTGTCATCTCATTAAAATGACGCAAAAATTGTAAAACTTAAAAACGTAATTTTTTCAGTCCAATCCTGTAATAATATTTCACAATATTCCTGTTTTTACTGTACTTTTGAACATGTAAATTAAGCCTTGGTCAGCATAAAAAGGCTTCTTTCAAAAATATGAAAAAAAAAATGACTGACCCCAAACTTTTGAGCCATTATGTATGCATGCATGTATGTACATATCCAAAGCCACTTTCAACACATTTCAAGTATACATTGTATCACTTTTTGTGTTTCCAGGGAATCAAACCCATGACCTTGATGTTGCTAGCACCAGTTGAGCTTCATTTCACTCAAAGAATAGCCGTTTCAGTCAGATGGCTCTCCTTCACCGAGCCGTTTGAAGTTGGAATCGTGTAAGTATTCAAGTCAAACATTAAATACATTTAAAGGCAAGTTAATTTGAGAGTGAGACAGGCCGGTACAAATCCGAAACAATGAGTTTGAGGGAAGCTGTGCAGATGCAGGGCCACCTAATCAGATTGCTTTCATTAAGTCTGTTGAAATGACAGAAGCTTTTACTTCACTTCTATTGGATTACCAGGAATGCAGCTCTCTTATGACAATCTGCATTATCGAAACAATCTCTCTCCTCCTCTTTTACTCTCTTTTGCCTCATCCTTTCCTCCCTCTCTCTCTCTCTCTCTCTCCATCTCCCTGGCTGACTTTCCTCTCTCTCTCTCCTGTGAGCTCCATCTCTCTCACGCTTTGCAGATGGGATGAGCCTGGGAGGAAGGCAGAGTGCTTTGCCAGTTGTGTGTGAGAGAGGGCAGGAATTCCAACCGTGCGCAGTCTATTCCAAGAACAGCTTCCCTCTTGTGCAGGAAATACATCGCCAATGCATTTTCAAGCCTTTCTTTGAAGGTTCCCGCTGATAGAGGTAAGCTAGATGAAAGGAAGTTCATCTGTGCGTGTGCATGAGTGTTAATGTAGTTGTCACATGGCGTGTTGATGGAAGTCAGTCACAGTGCGCTCACATTAGTCTTACATTACTGTTGAGTGCATTTTAGAGTGGATATAATGTGCTATTCGAT